CAAAAACAAAACATCACCAAGAACAAAATCACCAGCTCAATCTTCCCCAAGATGAGGAAACCCATTTCCTTTGCTGATGAAACGTGGCCACGATGTAAGCAGTGCTTGGTCTTGACGTGCGTACGTGCGTGGTTTCTGGTTGGCCGGGAAGGGAGAAATAATACTGCAGCCGGCCAGGAGCGAACAGCAGGAAACGGCTCTACAAGAACAGCCACAAGCCTTCCGCTCAATGTGTTCTTTCTCAACCCTTTACCTAAACTCAACCCTGACTGTGGTGCCAATTCCCCTTTGGCTCCTACCAAGAGATGCTGGAAAGGACAAGTATCAGAACAGTCTCAGCATTCCAACAGCACTAACACAGCACCGTGCATGCACACAGGATGTGTTTAGTGACATTTCTAGTACCTCTCAGAGGCAAACAAAACAGCTTTTAGTGATTTAAAAGGTATGACATAAATGATAGGTTCGTGAGTATTTGCTCTATTATTCTGATTCATAACTTACATATACAAAGCCTATAGTCCTTGTAGCAATTATTACATTAGAAAAGAAATAGCTTAAGAAGAAATATACACACAGAAAGAGAATATTTGCCATTAAGCTTCAAGGTAAGTGTAAATATTAGCATGGCGTTGCTCCAAGCAGGATGTGGCTCAGTTCCAGCACCTCGTGCAGTCCATCACCTGCCTCTGGCCCCGCATGCAGACGGTGTCCCTCCCTCCTCCCAGCTGGGCGCATTTAAGAATTTCATGAACTGTACATCTGCTAGCTGCTACTATTTAATAAAATGCAAATGTTCATCTAACACAGGCTCAAGAAACAGTTGTTTCTCATTCAATCCACTTTGACCCGGGAAATAACCATGGCAAAAATACTCTCCGGGTGACCTTAGGCAAACAGTCTGTGCTTTTTTTTTTTGGAGGGGAAAGAGGGGGGCGGGTTTCATTCTCACCCAAGGATATTTTTCCCATTGACTTTTAGAGAGAGTGGAAGAGAGGAGGAGAGACAGAGAGAGGGAAACATCGATGTGAGAGAGACACATCGATTGGTTGCCTCCAGCAGGCACCCGACTGGGGGCCAGGGATTGAGCCTGCAACTGAGGTACATGCCCTTGAGCAGAATTGAACCCAAGACCCTGAGGCTGATGCTTTAGCCACTGAGTCAACAAGGCGAACTATACACTCAAAGATGGTTAAAACAGTACGTTTAAGTGGGAGTTTAATCACTATTTTAAAGACTATACTATCTCAAAGCATCTGGGAGACATCAAATAACCTTTCTGGCTTCTGGGATAAGGGTAAGTTTTAATAACATTTATAGGGAAAAATGAAAGACAGATTTGGGAGACAGAGGCTGGGCAAATACTTAAAGCTGCAGAACAGAAGGTGATTAGGCATCCTAAGCTGCTACTTGTCTGTATTTAAAATGAGAGAAACAGACACAAAAATATACCATCTCCTTTACTCACTTTTGTGATGGTTTTTAAGATGGCGAGACGATCGCCCCCGTGTGTATAAAACTAGATGGCCAGACTGCATGACCCCTAAGGCTTCCTTAAATGTAAATGCTTTCAATTTAGTCAATTAACTCCAGGGTGGGAGGGTGGCATGGAGTTTGTTTATGAAAGCTCATGGAGTTGGACATTGAATGATATGCCCACGTTTTTTGTGCCTGTATTACACGTTAATAAAAAGGTAAAAAAAAGTGGAAACAACATTGGACCAGGAATTAGAAAATCTGAGTTCTGGAGATGAAGAGCAGTGAGGGCTGCACAACAATGTGAATGCAGCAAGGTCAAGGAACTATACACTCAAAGACAGTTAAAACAGTACGTTTAAGTGGGAGTTTTATCACTATTTTAAAGACTATACTATCTCAAAGCATCTGGGAGACATCAAATAACCTTTCTGGCTTCTGGGATAAGGGTAAGTTTTAATAACATTTATAGGGAAAAATGAAAGACAGATTTGGGAGACAGAGGCTGGGCAAATACTTAAAGCTGCAGAACAGAAGGTGATTAGGCATCCTAAGCTGCTACTTGTCTGTATTTAAAATGAGAGAAACAGACACAAAAATATACCATCTCCTTTACTCACTTTTGTGATGGTTTTTAAGATGGCGAGACGATCTGCGGGGGGCGGCAAGCCCACGAAGAGGGTTTTGTCCAGGCGGCCAGGGCGCAGGATCGCAGGGTCAATGATATCTAGAGAAGAAGGGAGAAGGGAGACAGGAGTCTTAAAGAAATAGAACAGAGTCTTTAAAAAATATGTAATTAACACGAGAGATGGGAAGAGTATATTTTTTAAAAGGAAAAACTGGTTAGACTTCATGAAAATGAAAGTTTCTCCTTAAAAAAATAGGCTCTTAAGAAAGGGAAAAGCCCCCTCCCCCGTTCCTGCCCAAACCTGCTTTCCTCCAGGATTCTCATCTCAGATAACGACCCCTGCCCGCCCCCCAAATATTAGGCAGGTTTCTCCTTCCCTCTAATGCAGTGGTTCTCAACCTTCTGGCCCTTTAAATACAGTTCCTCATGCTGTGACCCAACCATAAAATTATTTTTGTTGCTACTTCATAACTGTAATGTTGCTACTGTTATGAATTGTCATGTAAATATCTGATATGCAGGATGGTCTCAGGCGACCCTTGTGAAAGGGTCGTTCGACTGCCAAAGGGGTCTCGACCCACAGGTTGAGAACCGCTGCTCTAATGGGAGACACATGCTATCAAGTCTGCCTCCCATCACCTCGACCCTCAGTCAAGGCCAATGCAATGTCCTCCGTGAGTCTACCTGCCCCTCTCTGGGACCCCTTACAGTGCTGCCAGGATTACCTCCTAAAATACACATCCAATTCTCTCGACTCCTGCTCCCCACTGCAGACCGAAGCCTAACTTGTCAGTATCATGCTAGAGCATCGCCTGACAAGCATGTCTAAGGGTCATCTGAGTCTACAGGGCAAAGATCTCAAACATTTTGGTCTCAGGAAACCTCTGCACTTTAAAAAATGATGGAGGACTCCTTTGTAACCTTTCTACCTTGCCCTTCCCTGACTCCACTTGTCCCTAGACGGCCACTATAGATTAGTTTGCATTTTCTAGAATTTTATATAAGTGGTATCATACAGTATGTATTCCGTCTGCTTTCTTTTACCCAACATAATTATTTTGAGATTTAGCTAAATTGCTATGTGCATTTGTACTTCTTTTTTTTTTTTTTTAAATATATTTTACTGATTTTTTACAGAGAGGAAGGGAGAGGGATAGAGAGGTAGAATCATCGATGAGAGAGAAACACCTATCAGCCGCCTTCCGCACACCCCCCACCGGGGATCGCAACCAAGTACATGCCCTTGACTGGAATCGAACCTGGGACCCTTTAGTCTGCAGGCCGACGCTCTATCCACTGAGCCAAACAGGTCAGGGCTGTACTTGATTCTTTTTTATTGCTGAGTACTATTCCACTGTATGGATAGACCCCAATTTGCTTTGCATTCTTCTGTTGATAAACATTTGGCTCAAGTCCACTTTGGGACTATGTGCTATGAATACTTGTGAACAGGTCTCTGTATAGGCGTTTGTGGGATGCAAAGCAGTATGACTATATCACACTATAGGTGTATACTTAACTTTTCAAAACCGGGTATCAGGCCTAAGCTGGCAAGTGGACATCCCCCAAGGGGTCCTGGACTGCGAGAGGGCACAGGCTGTGCTGAGGGACCTCCCCCAGTGCACAAATGTCGTGCACCGGGCCTCTAGTCAATGGATCAGCTGCCTCCTGCACACTCCACACTGGGATCAAGCCTGGAACCCCTGCATGTGCCCTTTACCAGAACTGAAGGAGGAGGGACCATTCAGTCCACAGGCCGATGCTCTATCCACTGAGCCAATCTTGATTCTACTCTCCAACATCCATATCCAATCCACTAGCAAATCCTGTCAACTCTATGACACAACATGTCCAGATTCTTTCTACATCCCCAGGCATCACCTGGTACAACAAACAACATCTTGCACTTGGACTATTGTTGTATTTCCTAACTGAATCCCTACATGATTGTGTCAGAGTCAAGATATCAATTCTTACATCTGCAATGAAAAAGTCACCAGCAACCCCAAAGCTTTAAAGACAAAATGCATCACTCACAAATGAGACAGATGCCCGAAGAGGAACACTTCCTATCTGTTGATCAAGAAACAACTTCAATGTCCACCAACTGGTGAAGAAATAAAAGGTGGTGCAGCCACACTAGGAAGAATTTTCCAGCAACAAAAAGGAGTGACGTGTCCACACATTCTACAACATGGATGAACCTGGGAAACATCACTAAAGTGAAAGAAGCCAGACACTACAGCCCACATATTGTACGATTCCATGTACATAAAATACCCAGAACAGGGAAATCTATGGAGACAGAGTGTAGATTAGTGGTTGCCTAGGGCTGAAGGTGGGGGAAGGACGGGGAGTGGCTACTAACTGACACATTTCTTTTTAGGGTGATGGAAATGTTCTAAAATTAGACTGTTGGGATGGCTGCACAACTCTGTAAGTATACTCAAAGCCACTGAATCGTATATTTAAAATGGGTAAAAATTATGGAATACTGCATATGCCAGTAAAGCTGATTTTTACAAAAATTAGGTCTTCAGACTAATAAGACTCTCACTGTGCCAGTGAAAATTATTACAAGATCAGACAGCCTTCATGAAACAGAAGTATAGCTCTCCTCTGATTCATTAAACAAACAGTTACTGAGTGCTACTATGTACCAGGGTACCCATAAATCAGCAGAGGTGATGCCAGGGCCTAGGTTAATTTTAAAAGGGCAGTACTGTGCCAAAGGGTAAGATATACAGGCTTGACTATGACATCTAATCATTGGTCAACTGCCTTCAAGGAACATTCAACCATGATCCAAAGCCATTCAGATTAGATAGGTCAGGAGACAGTACATTTCACTTGGAATTCAAGTGGCTAAATAATGAAATAAACCTTTTCTTTGTAAGTCATCCATACTTTCATCTGACAAATAATTATAGAGACTTTTTATTGATTTTAGAAAGAGAGAGGAAGGGAGAGGATAAGAGAGCTAGAAACATCAATGATGAGAGAGAATCACTGATTGGCTGCTTCCTGCATGCCTCACCTGGGGATCGAGCCTGCAACCCCAGCATGTGCCCTAGTGGGAATAGAACCCTGACCTCCTGGTTCATGGTCGACCCTCAAGCACTAAGCTACACCAGCTGGGCTGGATAGAGACCTTGAACTAGGGCTATCTCTCCAATATAAAAGTGCAAACCTAATCCTAGCCTGGAAGAAGCTTAGACATAATTTACTTATTACTTTTTTCAACTGAGCCATACATAGAAGGTGGAAACTCTTTCTAGATGCTGAAATGCTGCCGAAACAGACCCCTACTGAGTAGAAGAAAAAGTAATAAGCTGGTGTAGCTGTCTGGGTTTCATAAACGATGTATGCTGTGCAGGAGTGTTTTTAACCAGTTAGACAGGGAGTTAAATGGGAATAGGTAGTTCCTCAACTGAGAACATCCTTTATGGGAGTTGGTATTCAAAGAAGGGAATGCAAAGGAGTGTGTAGGAGAGATTAAAACTAGGCCACCTGTGGTCTAGATGTGATTGTACAAGGAGCTTCATGCCCTTGGGCTGAGCACAGGGAAGTGGTTTATTCCCAGAAGAGGGCGGTCACAGTTCTTCAGAACAACCAGAGGTAGAATGGGGAGAAAAGAGTCTTTTCATTTACTTTGTAAAAATCAGTACCTCAAAAATTAGGAAGAAAAATAAAGACAGAGCTAGAAATAGGAGAAAAGAAGAAATTTAGAAGATCAATTTGGGAGGGTTTAAGATCCACCAAGTACTAAGCATATACATAAAACAAATGAACAAAAAGTCACATAAAAAGGACCAGAATGGCACAGACCTTTAAAGAGAAGAAGAAGAAAAAAAAAGCAACACCTACAAATTATGGAAAAAAATGTTTTCAATTCAAATTCTATACCCTGCCAGGCTGCCAATCAATAATGAGAACAGAATAAAGATAATTTCAAATATACAAGAAGTCAAAAAAATTACCTCCTGCATGACCTATCTTAGAAAAGCCACTGAAAAATAAGCTCTAGCAAAATGAGAGAGTAAACCAAGAGAGAGATAAGATCAGAAACAGAGGGCAAAGCAAAGCAGCGCAGGAAAGGTGATCTTGAAATGACCCGGCCTCAGAGGGTGGCCAGCCCAGACGGAGCAGGAGGGGGGAAGGCTCCAGAGGGAAGGCTCTAGATTAGAAACAAACCATCAAAGGAACACATCAGATGAAGAACAGGAACAGAGAAAATAAAGCAAAAGAAAATATTAGGGTTATTAAATTTAAGAATAACAAGGTCAAATGAAAAAGGAAACCCAATCATAGAATTATTCTTGGGGAGCAGAGAGAAATATTTAGTCATCAGTAATGTAAACACTGACTAGTGATTTAACCGAAGTTGTGATCAAACTATCTTCTATTCTATATCATAAAAGGCCGTTACGGCGTCACGACCACAGGAGCAGTGGCTCTTGCGGCAGAAGGCAGGGCGCGAGCTACTAGTGGCGGAGGGCGGGGCATGAGCTACGAGCAGCGATGGGCGGGGCGGCCAGCTGAGGCAAGCGGAAGTGAGCTACTTGCACATGATTTCGTGTGTGCTGGGCCTCTAGAGAGTGTGTGTGTGTGTGTGTGTGTGTGTATATATACACATATATATATGTATATACACACACACACACACACATATACATATATATATATAAATAAGGCTAATATGCAAAATGTACCCTTGGGAGTTCGACCAGGAGACCGATTGCTCGCTATGATGTGTGCTGACCACCAGGGGGTGGCATGGAACAAAGGAAGGCCCTGGCCGGCCGTCGGAAGGCCCCAATCAGCCCTGATTGCCGGCCAGGCCTAGGGACCCTACCTGTGCACAAATTTTGTGCACCAGGCCTCCAGTATTAAAATATTAGGAGGACAGACTGAAGAGAACAGAGGTATGGGAGTGAGGATGAGGGGGCAGAGAAAGGGTGAACACAAGATAATGATCTTCATCTACCTTAAAAAGAAGTTAATGGGCAGTGTGTAAAATTGGTGAGAAAGAACCATTTGAACATATTATTTGAAAATATGGAGGAAATACAGAAGAAATAGCTCAAGGAGTTTACAAGTGGTTGCCTCTGGGCAGGGGATGGGGAGGGGTGGGACAGAGAACAGTTTTTGTTATAGGTTTTGCAGGGTCATTTGATTTCCCTGAGTGGGTTTATCTTTTTCATGCCATTCTAATTGGATCTAAAACCACGAAGACTTGTTATGCCCATTCTCTTAGGGAGTTAGTCAATTCACAGGAACTGAGTCACACAGAATAAACAGTGTTGAAACCTGCTTGAAACCCTCCTGTGCCTTCCCATCACGGCAGGCTAAAATCCACACCCCTTATTGTGACATAAAGGGCCCCAAGCACCTCTCCATCACTGTCCCCACCACTCATTCCACTCGGGACACACTGGCCCTCTTGCTGTTCTCCAAAAAAGGCCAAATCTGTTCTCACCTCGGGCCTTCACACGTCTTGTTTGCTCTCTCCCTGGAATGCTCTTCTCCCAGGTTTCTGTATGGCTTAATTCTTCACATCATTTGGATTCATGAAATAATCACCGTCACTTCTGACGAAGCCTCCCAGGCCCATGGAGTCTAGATTAGCATTCCTCTCCCCAACTGCCAATCATTCGGTCTCCTCCTACCCTGTTTTACTTTATTTCTCTGTCTATTATTTTTCCTGTGTTCCCCAGCCCCGTATGAGAATATATGCAGGCAAAAAATTTTTCTGAATTAACCTCTGAAGTGTTAGCTTTTGAATTCCCAAAGCTCAGCAGAACCAGGCATAATCAACTCAAAATCAAATACTTGATGAACGAGAGAGTCAATTTTCTCAGAGGTAATTCCTACTTCCTCTGTTTTTGAATCTGGGCTTTCCTGTCACTGTCCTGACCAACAGTCTGCCCATCCTGGGCCTTGCCTTTAGGAGGAATGGCAGCTCCCACCCTGGTCTCCTGGGACCCAGCAGTCATGTGAGAAGTCGGAGTACTCAGAGAGCCATGCTCATGGAAGCCCGAGCCACCCGGGAGGTCTTGGAAGAGGACAGTGAGTGTGGGGGAGAGACATGCCAAGGGACACCAAGGCACCAGACATGAGTAAGAAGCCCCCCTGGCAGGGGTTCTCCGGCCCAGCTGCTCCAGCTGATGGCACAAGGGTCAGAGTTGAGCCACTTGGACAAGCCCTTCCTGGATTCCCGACCCACAAAACTGTGAGCAAAGTAAAAATGGCGATTTTAAGGCACTAAGTACCGCAGGAGTCTGTCAGTCAGCAGTAGCTGACCAGAACATCAGGCAAGAAGGGATTTCTTAAAGCCAAGTAGAAAACAAGTTATAAACCATCCAACCAGAATGTCACAGCATAGTGTACAACAGAACAGAATGGCCAATGAGCGTAAATGCAAGTGAAAAAGATCTAGAATATCTATTTGTAAATGTGAGCAGGCCTTCAACGCAATGGGGTTTGCTCAATATGGGGGAAAAGGGATGAGTAAGGTGCAACGGATAGGAAGACAATACTCAAGGTCACTGGAAAGGACAAAACACATGATGATTCCACACGATGATTCATCTGTCATTCGTATCGCTGGTTAAACTCAACACAGACTATTATGTTCAGTTCTGGGTTTTACAACTAAGGAGAATCTGGAGCACTGTAAAGAATTCCAAGACGATGCCGAAACCGGTTTGGCTCAGTGGATAGGGCGTCGGCCTGCAGACTGAAAGGTCCCAGGTTCGATTCCGGTCAAGGGCATATACCTGGGTTGCGGGCACATCCCCAGTAGGAGATGTGCAGGAGGCAGCTGATTGATGTTTCTCTCTCATCGATGTTTCTAACTCTCTATCTCTCTCCCTTCCTCTCTGTAAAAAATCAATAAAATATATATTAAAAAAAAAAAAAAAGAATTCCAAGACGAATAGAGAGATCACGGGGAAAAACCCATGAGAAAAGGTAATGTACCTGGACTGTTTTGAAGGAGAGGATTTAAGTAAAACTCAGTGACGCTGAAGGACCTATTATTTTCTCACTAGAGGCCCGGTGCACGAAAATTCGTGCACTGGAGGAAGGGGAGGGGGTCCCCTCTGCCCGGACTGCACCCTCTCGCGTCCTGGAGCCTTCGGGGGATGTCCGACTGACGGCTCCCCATGGGGAGCAGGCCTAAGCCATCTTTCGGACATCCTTAGTGCTCTCCAGCCTTCAGCCCGGCTTGTGGCTGAGCAGCACTCCTCCTGTGGGAGCGCACTGACCACCGGGGGGCAGCTCCGGGCCTGCCCCCTATTGACCCTCCACTGCCGCTGGTTGCCGCAATCCCCGGATTGCCGTCCCCTCCCTCTGCCTGCTGGCACCTGCCTTTGCTGGCCTGGCACCACCTGCTTGCTGGCCCTGCCCCCCAATGACTGGTTGTTCCGCTGTTCGGTCAATTTGCATATTGTACTTTTATTATATAGGATACCCTACAGAGATTACACTAAGTTTTTACATTAAGCAAACATGACCAATAATGAGCGCCAGTACATAGAATATGTTATTCTAGACATCAGACCAAAGACTCTCTACTTGAAATTTGCTACAAAGCTGTGTATCTACTTTGGAAATATAGGAGGTGATTCTGTCCAAATCTGAGGGACTTTCAAGCTTTCTTCTAGGAAAGCTGTGACTTTATGACCCAATGACTGTTCCTACTGCTATTACCACAAGTGCTGGTGACAATGATGATAATTACTAAATAGCTACTTGCCACACACCGTGGTAGATTGCTAATATCGCTTCACCAGACAATTAGGTATTATTATCTTCATTTCAGAGATGAAGACATGATGGTTAGCAAGATGAAGTAATATATGCACAAGATTAATGTGGTACAATAAAAGATAATTTGATCTTTGCCCCTGGTTCTTGGCATACTCCTTCAAAAATCCTTGGAATTTCCTGAGTTAGGAGTCTTTGTTATGCTAATGAGATGACTTGGCTGGTGCCAAGATAACCTCAGGATGGGGACAGTTACCGGAAAGACCAACCAAGCGATTGGAGGGTTGGAACTTGGACCAAGACCTCTGGGGAGGGCAGGGGAAGCTGAAGACTGACTTCCATCACAGGCCAGTGATTCAATCAATCATGGCTACATTATACAGCCCTCATAAAAGCACTGCATCAAAGCTCAAGGGTGCGGCCCAGTTCATGAACACAGTGATGCGCCCAGAGGATGATGGGTCCTGACTCCATGGAGAGAGGGCACTGAAACTCGATATGCCCTCCAAGACCTACCTGTATGGGTGGGTGTCCCTTATGATAAGCTGTCATTGTAAATACAGTGCATTTCTGAATTCTGTTAGTTGTTCTGGTGAATGACTGAACTTGAGGGGGGTCATGGGAATTCTCACATTTGTAGCAGGCTGATCAGAAGTGTGAGTGCCCTGGAGATTCCACTGAGGCTGCATCTGAGCGGCGGCAGTTTTGTAGAGGACTGACTCCTTAACTGCAGGCCTGACACTAACTCCAGGTGGTGAGTCAGAACTGACTTAAAATCTACTTCTCTGGTGTTAGACCAGTTTGGGTTGAAACAGAGCAGTTACTAAGATATGAAGTGCTGTGGCCAGGACTCAAACCTCGTTCTGTCTGATTACAAAGAGAGCATTTCATTATTATAAGAGTCAAAGTATAAACCATAACAACTTTGGATTTTTCATTTTACAATAAAATGGCATATAATTCATGAAGGTTTTGAGTTTCCATGGTAACTTACATGAAATGAAAAATTGTATCAGCTTGACAACTGATAAAAGTCCATTTAAGGAATTAAATTACCCTATCACTGCTATCAGAGTTAACACAAACATCAATGTAGGGGCAGCTATGACACAGTGGCTCATAGGGATGGCAAGGAATTAAACAATGTGAAGAAAATTTAGGGTCCAGAGTAAAAGCCACCTCTAGCACCTTTGAGGTTCTGAGCCTTTTTCTAAATCCTTCATTGAGTGCTTAAGCTTGTAAACTATTTTAAATAATAGTTAAACACAGGTAAAGGGACATGGTTCCAGTATAAAATCTTAAAAACCTATCTTCAACCTTCAGATACAAAGAAAAGAGACTCATTGCTGTTTCCTATCAGCTTGAGAGAAACCATAGGACAGTGATGGCGAACCTATGACACGCGTGTCAGAGGTGACACGCGAACTCATTTTTTGGTTGATTTTTGTTAAATGGCATTTAAATATATAAAATAAATATCAAAAATATAAGTCTTTGTTTTACTATGGTTGCAAATATCAAAACATTTCTATATGTGACACGGCACCAGAGTTAAGTTAGGGTTTTTCAAAATGCTGACACGATGAGCTCAAAAGGTTCGCCATCACTGCCAAGAGGACATACATTCAGATTCCTGTTTCTGTGGTCAAAAGTGCATGTCACACCAAAAAAAGAAAAGTGTATGTTACACGTGTTCTCTGCCAATAGGAGAACTTTCTGAGCAGCAACACAGAAAACAAAACAAAACAAAAACCCATGAAATCCAGGCACTACTGTGTTTTCTCTATAGCTTACATAAAAGCTTTCTAAGGCTTTATTTCAACTTGTGAACCCTTTTGGTTATCCCTTGAGCAGGACGTATGTAAACCGTATGTTTTTGAATGCTCTGTCTTACCTGGCCTGTTAGTGGCTGCCATGATGAAAACCTGCTGACGCGTTTCCAGACCATCCATCTCTGTGAGGAGCTGATTCACCACTCGGACGCTTGCCCCTGTCTAAAAAGAAACAAACACAGCTCCATCAGCCCCCAACAAAAGGAAAAATCCATCACCAATTTTATTTTGCCATACAAAATAATACACTTGCTCATTTGAATGTTTCTGTCAAGAGATAATAATGATCATTCCCTGACTGGTTACTGTACAAGCACTGGACAAAACATGTTCTCATTCCCATGTTTCCCCAGCAAACCTTTTTAAAAAAGATATATTTTTATTATTTCAGAGAGGAAGGGAGAGGAAAATATTAATGATGAGAATCATCACTGATCGGCTGCCTTCTGCATGACCCTACCAAGAATCGAGCCTGCCACCTGGCATGTGCTCTGACAAGGAATCAAACCGTGACCTCCTGCTTCATATGTTGATGCTCAACCACTGAACCACACCAGCTGGGCAATCCTCTTATTTTATCCACATTTTCAATAGGAAATTGTGGCTGAGAGAGGATGTTATTTGTCCATGGTCTCACAGCAAGATAAGGGCAGAAATGAAACTCAAACTCAGATTTATGACTCCAAAGTCTATGCCTCTTAGTTATTCAAGGATCTAAAAGCCACAACAAATTTCCTTTTGGACAAATCTAGACTGAACTTTTGAATGCCAGCCCAGATTTCCTGGGATATCAGATGCCTCATCTGGGACACTGGGTCTTTTTCTCTTTTCCTTGAAGTATCCAGCACAACTGCAGCTACCTCAGGGCAACACCCGAGAGAAAAGTTCTGGGGGTTGGTCAACGGGGACAAATCAGCGGGACAGAAGTGTAGTGTTTGCCTCTGGATTCCACACTAGACTTTAGGACATGACAGCTGGCAGGCAACAGGAAGGACCTCTGCCCTGGCCACTGACATCACTATCAGACGAGACTGTAATAAGCATATGCTGAGATGCCATTGATGACTACTGGATGAGGAAACAACATTGCTTTGCTATGAATCACATTTATAGTCGTCAAGTTTTGTTTTTTCAACTATTTAATGTTTCTGGGGATTCTTGAGTAAAAGGAGCCACTGAGTAAATGTTTCACTACCTACGAGAACATATACAGAATAATTATGCGAAAAGAAACCACAGAAACATGTGATCTCTATGCTTCCAATTCTTACATAGCAATCTTCCTGATAACAGCTGTTTCGAGGCACTCTCTGTGCTGAAATTTCTAAGAACTATGACTCAGCATAGTAATGCAAGTGGCAGTCAATGCCGACCAAGTTTTATCTTCCCCGGAGTGTAATGGTGCTGAGTCAGTGCACATTACCTGGCCCTATTGTGAGTGCGTGTCTTAAATTACATTTTCTCCTGCCTCAAGAACGCATTTAACTGGAGAATCTTAAGATTACAAGGCAGACTTTTCAAAATCAGTCTCATTTCCAGTCCCAGCTACTCATTTGTGTGAATCTGATATGTGTAACCAAACTAACATACTAAAAAAAAACAAAACAGGATACAGAGGTTAATAAAAATGCAACTGTTATCCCTCAGTCCTGATTTCAAATTACTAGGTACTTCGCAAAAAGAGTCCCAATGTTCTCGAGGAATGACTTTACAAGAACTCCTTGAACTTTATAGAAACTTTATAAAAACTTGTTTAAAAAGGTTTGTGGTGCTCAAAAAGAAATCTGTAGCCCTAGCCGGTTTGGCTTGGTGGATAGAGCGTCGGCCTGTGGACTGAGGGGTCCCAGGTTCGATTCCGGTCAGGGGCACATGCCTGGGTTGCGGGCTTGATCCCCAGTGGGGGGCGTGCAGGAGGCAGCCAGTCAATGATTCTCTCTCATCATTGATGTTTCTATCTCTCTTTCCCTCTTAATTCCTCTCTGAAATCAATAAAATATATTAAAAAAAAAAAAGAAATCTGTAAAGGACGACTCGATGACAGCTACCTCTCGGTCTGATCTTCGAGGGCATAAGGCATCCACTTCATCAAAGAAGATCACACAGGGCGCCGAGTTCTTGGCTCGTTGAAAAACCTGCCGCACAGCACGCTCGCTTTCACCGACGTACTGAACACACAGACAGGAGATAAATGGAGAGACAGTTCAACCTAGGGGTTCAAGCCAAATTATAGTAAAACCAGTTTTAAATGACATTTGTACGTCAGAGTCCAAAAAAGTATTAGGTTGAGCCATAGGCAACTACTGGTATTTGCCCATTTCTGACCTATAAGAATAGTCAGTTGTATGTGGTTCCATTTAATAAAATTAGCTATTATTTAAGCTTATAAATGTCCTCATTTATAAAATGAAGTCTAAATGCAATGTAAGGTCTTCTCTAGATCAAAAAAATCTCACAATTCTATTTTAGAAGTGACCTCCTAAGTTGTATGCATATAAAATACCCGGCAATAATTCTCATTCATTCAAACAGTATTTTTAAATGCAAACGAGACAATTTACTGTTCTACTGTTATTTGTACATCATCTTGCTCAAGGAAGAGCTATTTTGTCATAAAGCATCAGAAGAGGCAAACTGAGCCAGCTGGGAATTGCCGTTATATGGCATAATGTATGTAAAAATCAAAATCAAACTACAAAATATTAAGATTAGTCAAGAAATAACAGCAACTCACTAGCAGCTATATATAACATTAGGACAATTAAAATAAAAAGTTACATGTAAGAATATGGTTTCCCTTTTAGCTAGGCATAAGGAATTGTTCTTATAAAATTTCAAACTAGTTTAAGAAAAGCAGTTTTGTCGTAATGAAACTGCTAGGTAAAACAGAATCTGATGCCAACAATCTCCTACCATAAAGTATCTCTGATGTTACTTTATGACTATATGGTCATAATAAAGTAATTAAGGAATAGACTGCATCACAGATGACAGTGATTAAAGTATCTGTTTTCTCATTTGAATAGAGCTGTCTTTCCCTCACATGTATCCTGGACTTTTCTTTGTACTTTAGCTCATTTTGCTTCCCTTACTTGAGCTGCTTTCCCAACCTACCTCCAAATAGTTATTGCATTTGAAAAGACCCCTATTACTCCCTTCTTTGCTCTTAGAGCATTTTAAACTATTGTAACTGTGAGCTCTTCCACGTTCACTGTACCATATCGTAAAGTACTTGGAAAGCAGAAGTCATGACCGTTTCAAATTTTTCTCTGATCATATCATCCTGTGCAGTATACAAATGCAGTAGAACAATTTAGTTCCCTGAAAAATCTAATTTAGCAAAAATTTTATTTGGGTAACTAAACCAAAATATTTAGTAGATATTTTTAAAGAAAAGGTATCAGGCCCTATCCGGTTTTGTTCAGTGGATAGAGCGCCGGCCTGCGGAGTAAAGGGTCCTGGGTCCAATTCTGGTCAAGGGTACATGCCTGGGTTGCGGCCTCGATCCCCAGTAGAGGGTGTACAGGAGGCAACCAATCAATGATTCTCTCTCATCATTAATGTTTCTATCTCTCTCTCCCTCTCCCTTCCTCTCTGAAATCAGTAAGAAAAAAAAAAAAAAGAAAGAAAGAAAAGAAAAGGTATCAGTGGGTTGGGAGAGACAAAGTTCAATAAAGTTTCAAATGGGGATGGAAAAAAATAATCAATATAGCTGGCAAAGGACTTCCGATATAGCAAACCAAAATGACTATGTAAAAGGAAATTTAATTTAGGGGAAGGTAAACCTAGTCCAAAGGACAGATTAAAATCAATCTTAACAAAAACAACACTGATTAGAAATAAGCAAACAAAAGAAAAAACCCTATCTTGGCCTTTAAGAAATACTTCAAATAAGGATCCTATACTTATCTCTAATTCCTCATTTGCCATTCAGTTTTCAATCATACCCTGGCTTTCTAAAACATTGAAAATATTACCCCTGACGTTAATAATGACATTCTGAGTACCAAGTCCAAAGTCTTACTGTCAGTTCTTTTACACTGTTTGGTTGCACTGACAAGGTTGAAGAAACATCAATATGAGAAACATCAATCTGCTGCCTCCTGCATGCCCCCTACTGGGGATTGAGCCAGCAACCCAGGCATGTGACCTGACCAGGAATTAAACTGGTGACTTCTTCGTACATGGGACAACGCTCAACCAACTGAGCCACACCTGCCAGGACTAAAAAGCCTTTTAAAACAAATGATACCATTTTCATTTTGTCTGTTTAAATGTTACAGAATGGACAGGAAATAAATTCAGTCTCTTAAATTTGAGATATAAATTGCTTAAGTGCTGAAAGAAATTATTATATATCACTTTAGTGATTTCTTTCCCCCAGAGTATTTTTATTTATTAATACTTAACTCATTTGAGGCACACAACACTAGGACAAGGAAAGCAGATCCAGGAGTCAGACAACCCAGATTCAAACCTTAGCTTTACTACTTCCTGGCTGGCAGACTCTGACCACGTTATATAAAACCCCCAAACTTAAGTTTCTTTTTTTTACCTGAATATATTGGGGGTGACACTGGTTAATAAAATTATATAGGCTTCAGGTACACAGTTCTACAGTACATCATCTGTATATTGCACTGTGTTTACCACCCCAAGTCAAGTCTCCTTCCCTCACCATTTATCCCTCCTTTCTCCTCCTCCACCCCCTAAACTTAAGTTTCCTCATCTGTGAATCAGAGGAAACAAGAATTTGTATCTCACATGGTTGTTGAAGAATAATGTATGTCAAGTGCTTTAAAAATTTATGGTACAGAGTAAACACTTTAAAATGTTCATTATTACAATTATTTCCATTTTGCAGGTGAGAAAACTGAGACTCAGAAGTTACCAGACTTAATTAAGAAAGTACATATACGAAGTACAGCAGAGGAAGGTTCCATTTCTTCATTCCTACAGAGGTGATTTCACCAAAATTTGACAATTGTTTCAAAAATATGAAGACATTCTACCCTGTAATTTGAAAGATCATTACCTTCCTTATCTAAACAATGGCTAATGCCACAACTTACCATATTTAGTAATTCTGGGCCCTTGACAGATATAAAATTTAGTCCAGACTCATTTGCAACAGCCTAGTAAAAGGAAACAAAGAGATACAAATAAGACAAATATACAATAGAATAATAACAATCATTTATGATAACATGGGGATTTCTTGTGGCGTATACTCTATTTTCCCACTTTTATAGTTGCCTCTTTCTAATTAGAAGGAGAGGAGACTTATGGGAAAAAGAGAAATGAATAAAAAGAAATGTCAACCTAAAACTTTCTAAGAATCATGAAGACTAGAAATCAGAGGAAAGGGACACAAAATATTTATGTAAATGTTATACATGTGTAGCCCTAGCTTGGAATTCTAATGAAAGATCATCATCTCTGTATCAAGAAATACCCTGCCCAACGAAAGCAATCATTCACTCATTCATTAACCAAAATGTAAAAAAACATCAATTTTAGTCTCTACCAAGGGTCAGTATTAATGGACTATTTTTAAAAATATATATATTTTTTATTGATTTCAGAGAGAAAAGGAGAGGGAGAGAGGTTGAAATATCAATGATGAGAGAGAATCATTGACTGGCTGCCTCCTGCTCGCACCCTACTGGGGATAGAGCCCGCAACCCAGCACAGGCCCTTAACAGGAATCGAACCTGGTACCCTTCAGTCCACAGGCTGTTGCTCTATCCACTGAGCCAAACCAGTTAGGGCTTCTTCAGGACTCTTAAATATCACCATCCTTTGCCCTAGCTGGTTTGGCTCAGTAGATAGAGCGCTGGCCTGTGGACTGAAGGATTCCGGGTTTGATTCCAGCCAAGGGCACATGCCTGGGTTGCGGGCTTGATCCCCAGGGGGAGGGGGGCGCGTGCAAGAGGCAGCAGATCAACGATTCTCTCTCATCGCTGATGTTTCTATCTGTCTCTCCCTTCCTCTCTGAAATCAATGAAAAAATATGTAAAATATCACCATCCCTACAATAGCCATTTCCTAATCAATCAATCATAACAATCTGTTTATTTCCTTTAGAACTTAGCTGAATCTGTAATTTTATTGTTTTTGTTTACTGCCTGCCCCTTCCAAACAGACAATAAGTTCTATTAGCAGAGGTTCACTAGTTTATCCCTAGCACCAGAACAATTTCTGGCAAAGTCAGTAGCTCAATAAATACCTGCTGAACCATGAATGCATGCATGCTCCGCCACCAAAAATTGCTCAACATGAAGATTATCCTCTCTCTCAATCTTTGTCTTTCCTGCTGCCAATTTCATAAGTCTCCTATCTCTCAACTCATTAAGTAAGGGAGAGTCAGGATACACATCTAATGAAGTCTGACTCATTCACATTAGATTTTCAACATCTAAATGCCAGGTACCTAAGATTTAACCCATCAAAACCCCCAATAGTTCCTGAAATGATCAGACATCTTCTTTGGCTTCCAAATGAAATATAGTGGACATAACTGAATTTTTCATGGGCAGCATCACGAATCTTGCACTCACTGTCAGGCAAGATTAAAAACAAACATTGTAAGGCACCCAGGCAAGGGGATGGCTTCCACCTGGTGGATTCACAGTTTAGCACGCAGGGCCTTCTTTCTGGCCATGTTTTCCTAAAACTGTTGTACAAGGTGCAGACCAAGACTGTGATGTTCTCACCCCCTCCTCTGTTCTCAAACTTCTTGATAGCAATGCCTTGTAAAGGTACTAGAAGCATTAAGAAAGGACATTTAGTAATATACCATACCTTCGCCAGCAGCGTTTTCCCACAGCCGGGAGGACCAGCGAGGAGGACTCCGGCCGGAGTCACCAATCCGAGAGCTTGGAACTGATCTGGGTTACGTACTGGTGCCTGGAAGTAGAACCGCAGTGATCCGTTACAAGCGTCCTTTTATACTGCGTGTCACATGCTCTCCAGAGGCCCACTGTCAGCACTGATCACGAGGCCCGAAGGGACGAACAGTGCCTGGGACCAAGTGCTTACCTGCTCCAGGCATGAGGTATACGGTGGGAAACAAAAAAGTCCCTGCTCTGAGGAATCCATACTTAAAATGTAAGTTCTGAAAACATTTTGAACATAAAAGTTTCTAAAAAAATTATCTAAATTTCCAGGCTATAAGAATTATAGGCAACGTCCTCCTTTAAGAAACCAAAAGCAGCAGTGCTCTGCATAGTCAAAAGCCAGAACCACCTGTTCGCTGTAACCTCCATGCATTTTCTCTCTCAATAGTTACACATCTCTGCAGAGATCACACTTCATTCATGAACCCCGAAATGATCAGCAGCGTGAAAAAGAGTAAAGAAAAATCCTAATTTTCATGGGCATTAAACTGCTGTGACCCTCGTGAGCTTGACTAAGTTCAGAAAGTCTTTCTCCGACAATTTGGTCTTGGTTGAAACCTAAACTTTCATTTTTACTTACTCTCACAGAATTCATGCACAACCAACAGAGTAAGTCTAAAAAAGATCTCAGAAAAATGAAAAACCATCGTTGGGGGCTTAATGTTACTACCACAGAACACGTACAACCTAGTACACATGTGTGGTCATGTATTCGTCACACGTGCCAGCGGAACTTAGCCACAGACACACCTACCAATATTGCCATGGTGAGCTCCTCTCGAATGTCTTCCAGGGCACCAACATCTGCCCATGTCACGTTGGGGACCGTGACAAAGCCTTCCCTTTTGGCAGAGGGCTGGACTGAGGACAGAGCAACAATGAAGTCATTCAACTCAATGCACAGTCCTTGCAGCTGCTCCTCCGAGAGGGGATCCTGGTTTCTTAGCAACCTCAGCAGACTCTGCAATTCATCCTTAGCGGGAGCAATTGGGAGAAGAAAAGAAGAATCACCAAGTTTGTTGAAACATTACTTTTTGTACTTTTAAAAATTATTTCTGCAATATTTCTGTAAGCTACAGTAAACTTCTAAGTATTTTAATAATCATCTCCGCCCTAACCGGTTTGGCGCAGTGGATAGAGCGTAGGCTAATATTTCTGCAAGCTACAGTAAACTTCTAAGCATTTTAATAATCTTCTCCACTGACACAAGAAGTTAATTTTATTCTAAATAGATAATATAATTGGGCAAGGAAGGAACACCAATTATACTCAAATACAGAAGAATGATTTTTGCATCCTATACGACGGCTAGCTACAGCAAATATAAGCAGTTGGCACAGATTCATTTCAATAACCATGTTATTTCCATTTTTCATTTATAAGTATTTAAGAGCAGCTGAATTTTGGTGAAATTAAAACAAAGTTACTCTGATGGCAGATAATAATAATCATCTCCACTGACACAAGAAGTTAATTTTATTCTAAATAGATAATTTAACTGGGCAAGGAAAGGAACACCAACTGTACTCAAATACAGAAGAATGATTTTTGCATCCTATCGACGGCTAGCTACAGCAAATATAAGCAGCTGGCACCGATTCATTTCAATAAACCATGTTATTTCCATTTTTCATTTATAAATATTTAAGAGCAGCTGTATTTTGGTGAAATTAAAACAAAGTTACTCTGATGGCAGTAAAATTTCAGTCTTGAACTTCAAAGGCAGATTTCTTGCCTTGTGAAGAAAATGAAAGGACAAGTATAAAGAGTAACTCTGAATAATTCAATTTATAAAATCCTAACCTATATGCAACATTATAAAAGGGATACAGTTATATTTTTAACAGATAAAATTGTGGTTCCAAATGAGTAAGACAAAAATAATTTGAAAAACCAATGACCTACTAGTAGGTCTAAGTTCCTGCTCTGGAAAGTAGAGGGAGTAGGGCCTTAGGCAAGTCACAATCTCTTAACCTTAGTTTCTCTGATTATAAAATGAGGAAAGTAATGATATTTACTTGGCAAAGTTACATGGATCAAATTATATAATACGGAGACACCTCCTGTGCAAACCTTCAAATGCTGTAAAAATGTTATTTTGAGGTTTCGTGATTTACAAAACTCAAAATTTTAACAGTGACCTAGACTGATCAATGCCCCTCTCACATTCATATCGTAGACACCCTTTGTGTAAACCTTCAAATGCTGTAAAAATGTTTTGAGGTTTCATGATTTACAAAACTCAAAATTTCAAGTGACCTAGACTGATCAATGCCCCTCTCACATTCATAGGACTGTCATCCAGAACCACCTGCAGCTAGAGATAAAGTATGGTTGTGTCAGCACTTTCCTAGTCCGCCTAACCAAAAGGTAACCAGGAAGTAGAACTGAGTGCCCAATGCTCTAAGAGGAGTCAGCACACTTCCATGAAGGGCTAGAGAGCACACGTCTCTGCTGCAGGACTCCTGTGTAGAGTCTGCTGTGAAAGGTGAGAGTGGAAATAGACACCATGTAAATAAATGACCAGAGCTGTGTTCCAATAACAACTTTCATTTACAAAAACAGCTGGTAAGCTGAAGGCCCATAGTTTGCCAACCCCTGCTCCAGAATGTCATAATCATTGTTGTAAAATGAATTTATTCAGGATAAAAAAAAACAACAACAAAACACCAACCAACCAACTTGTAATTTTAAAATTACAGACATTCTGGGCATAACTTATAATTATTCTAAAGGTAAAACGCCAAGACAACAGAAAATCATAAACCTCAACGACGATGACGCTTGCTGGTAAGGTCACACAAATGAAGAACATTTGAAGGGCAGTTTAGGTACCTGTCTAGAAAGCACCTGTGTTGTGTAAGTGGGCTCAGTTCCCATCCTTTCTCCCTGGCCTCCTTCACGTGGAAAACCTTCTGTCTCAGGCTCTTTCTTCTGTGCATCCTGCAGCCGCATTAAGACCCTGCTGACTGCACGCATGGCTGCCTCCCGGCAGAGTGCCATCAGATCTGCACCAACAAAGCCTGGCGTGAGGTGTGCTAAGTGACGAAAATGGAACGTTTCCGGAAGTCTTAGTTTTCTGCACAGCGTTTGAAGTATTCTGTAGTAAAGACGGAGGGAAAATTCAGATTCCTAACCTACTAGTAAAAACAAGTCACTGAATATATTCATTTGAAATACAGTATTTCAAAATATTTCTTTACTAGATTTCTACTCCTAAAGAGAGCCCCCTGAGGTATTTTTAGTCATTCGGTGGACATGTCTTTGCTCTGCTGACATTCAACACCAATGACTAGGAAGGGCTGGTCTATAACAAAACCCAGGTTTCAACTCTCTGGCAGCCATTTCATTCTTTTTCCCAGAACCTCTGGTCTTAGGCAGGTTAGTGCCACAGGTTAAGGTATGGTACTCAGATTGCACCCCCATGTGGACCAGTGAACACTGCTCTATTCCATACTCTAGACCAGGGGTGGGCAAACTTTTTGACTCGAGGGCCACAATGGGTTCTTAAACTGGACCGGAGGGCCGGAACAAAAGCATGGATGGAGTGTTTGTGTGAACTAATATAAATTCAAAGTAAACATCATTACATAAAAGGGTACGGTCTTTTTTTTTTTTTTTTAGTTTTATTCATTTCAAACAGGCCGGATCCGGCCCGCGGGCCGTAGTTTGCCCACGGCTGCTCTAGACACTGCCCTAAGCTGACCAGCCAAAGTAAAAATGCAAGCCACTGTTAATAATGGACAAATGAGTATATAGGTATGTAAGTCCATTAATACTGCTGAAAAAAGTCTGAAACAATTACCCTATTGATGAGCAAATTATTTTCTTAAAGCATTCATTTAATGTGGGCTTCTTCCCTTTCCAAACCAATTTAACTGGAGAGAGAGAGAGAGAGAGAGAGAGAGAGAGAGAGAGAGAGGAAACAATGCGACATGCTTCTCACCCCTCAATTTCAAAGCATTCATTCAGATGACACAGTGGCACACTTGTTCATTCTCTAAGCATACCTTTCCCTGGATGCTTCATCGGGGATACCAAGGCATATTTCCTGGTCGAACCTTCCTGCGCGTCTCAAAGCAGGGTCTAACGCGTCTGGCCGGTTAGTAGCTCCAATGACTAGGACCTGAGCTGTAGCAGCCACATTATTCAGATCTAGTAAGAAGCAGACACAGCGTGAGTGGTGAACAAGACACTTGACAATGAGGACAATAATGCTTACACAAGTCATTTAAGTGGTTAGAGAGAAAGTATTACACATTTTAACAGCAATATATATATACATATAAAACCAACATTTACTAAATGCCTGATATGTGAGGAAGATAAATACAAACGGTCCTCAAGCAGCTCACAATCTATTGAGATACATAAAGACAGATTTTGTGAGGCATAACAACAGGTATAAACAAAGCACCACAGCCCTGGCTGGTTTGGCTCAGTGGATAGGGCATCGGACGGCGGACTGAAGGGTCCCAGGTTTGATTCTGGTCAAGGGCACGTGCCCAGGTTGCGGGCTCGATCCCCAGTTGGGGGCGTGCAGGAGGCAGCCGATCAATGATTCTCATCATTGATGTTTCTGTCTCTCTCTCCCTCTCCCTTCCTCTCCGAAATCAATAAAAATATATTTTAAAAAAAGGCACCACAGTGACATGATGGCTGAGGAATAATGGAGAGTGGATGGACAAGGTAACATTCCATTCTTTTTTTTTAAATATATTTTATTGATTTTTTTACAGAGAGGAAGGGAGAGGGATAGAGAGTCAGAAACATCGATCAGCTGCCTCCTGCACACCCCCCACTGGGGACGTGCCCTGCAACCAAGGTACATGCCCTTGACCGGAATCGAACCTGGGACCCCTGAGTCCGCAGGCCGACGCTCTATCCACTGAGCCAAACCGGCTAGGGCAACATTCCATTCTTGAAGGGCAGGATACTGATAAGCAGCGTTACGGTAATGAAATCCTACATGGGAGGGAAGGTGTGAGGGGAAGCACAAGGTGAGCAGTCCAACAACAGGGAGTCTGGGCAAGACAGAGGGGTACATCTCCAAACAGACTCACGGCATTAATCTGAGATGGGACACAATACAGTCTTCAGTTGCTCTGGCTTAATCCACAGCTAAATTTTTAGGCACACACAGAATACAGGACCTAGTGTGTCTTCCCTATGTATTATTTCTCTCAACTGATTTTTACCAATAAAAGCATATCCTTGGGTAAGGATTTAAAAAAAAAAAAAGAATATAATTGCACTGAAATGGTAACATTCCCAAGACATGTTTAAGATACAAATAGCAAGCCAAAACCGGTTTGGCTCAG